GGGGGGGGGGGGGGGGGGGGTTCACGCGCTGTCTCGAACGCACAAGAAAATATAATACCGTCCTAGAACATCAACATTTGACCGTTATACGCGTGTGGAAATGCACATTCGACGTCTATACCGTGGAGCTAGCTTTCATGCCGTGTTTGCTCGGCACTACAAGGTGGAGTCTGTCAAGCGGACCTGCGAGATGTGCACGAAGCCGGAGCAGCCGTCCTCGAGGCCGAAGAACGCGCCGTAGCTCACGATGTTCTCGACCTTGGCCGACACGAACTGGCTCGGGTCCTGCCAGTCAAAGAAAAAAGAAAAAACAAGTGCGATAAAAACGAACGCAAGAGAGAGGCCGAAGCTGTAAAGCACATGGTACGAATTGGCTCGGGTATTGCAAGTCAATTTACTGCTTAATGGTACAAAATTAAGTACGACCAAAACACACCCAAGAAAACAACCCAAGTCGTACGCACATTGTGGGGTCACAGGTATGGCAAGAGGTCGCGTCAAACACAACCGCAGGCAGTGTAGATATAACACTACCCATGAAAAAACCAAAGTCGTTTCTTCAAGAGAGAGAAGGCTGCAAACATTCTCCGGTAACCGCACATCCGCGCGACCCGACGGGTCACCATTTTCTCGTTTACAAGAAACTCACGTAGACTTGGCGAATGAAGTCTCGACGAACTGTCACGAAGGTCAACAGCTACAAAACGCAAATCATAGCGCAAGTGTCGCAGCAACAGTCACGCACGTCATACTTCCAAGAACAAGCGTCGTATGCGAATAAAAGGTTCGTGCAATTGATCAATTATTTCAAGCCCGGTGCGTCTAGTTGCGTTTCCTTTTTTCAACCAATTGTGATCATCTTATTCCATATGAAAGGTATGTAAATAATCGCGAAATTGATCATGTACTCTTGGTCACCTCGGCGAGCATGTCGGCGTACTTCTGGACGTTGCCCTGCTCGGCGCTCGACGAGCGGGGCTTCTGGCGCATGGACAGCACCAGCTTGCGGGCCTCGCCGTCCACGTTCAGCACGCGCACACGCACCTGTGAGTGTACGCGCGTTTGTCGTTGGCCGTCACAGCAGTCGAGGAGGTTTAGGCGAGGCGAGACGGTGGGGGGGGGAGGGGGGGTGGCACGACAAGAAAACCAAACTGAAACAGTAGTGGAGAAAAAGTGAAGAGTCGAGAGGGTAAAAATGCATCGGGAGTGGGGGGGGTGCAGGTTCGAGAAATACCGAAGTTGCTGTTCGGCTTTACTTGTTACTTTTACTTTTTCCCCATTTTGGCTGTACAGCAATGTCAGCGCCGACAACTACAATGCTCTCCGACCTTCGATCTCATGCGGGGAACAGTGGGAAAAACAGCAGTATCTTGTGTACGTTTCCTGGAAGAGGGATGGATGGGCTGTACTGGCGGTCACGTATGTGCGAATCGATTTTTGGCTGCTATTTCCATGCTTTTTTCAAGAACATCCAGCTGTACAAATTGCGGAGTCTTCACGCAGACAGGCGCACTTCTACGCGCTGCAAGGAGGTAGGCTGCATAAGATGGTGAACGCGTGTTCCCTCGTGTCTGGATGCATGGAAGGTCGGTCATACAACTGTGTCTCCTGCAAAGTTAGATCGGTGTGTCACAGCAACCACAAACAACGATAGCTGCTTTAAATCAACGCTAAGAAAATGTTCCGGTGTCTCACCATGTCTCCTTCCTTAACGTGGTCGTCGCAGTTGGCCACGAACTCGTCGGCCAACTGAGAGATGTGCACCAACCCGTTCACCTGGTTTAATGATCGTTGACCGTTTGGTGGTGTTAAGTGTGTTCAAATGTCACGGATGCAAGGGTAAGGCTTCCAACGATGAAGGGACCGTCAGCGTCGGACAAAACGGCATGTTTTTCTCGAAAAGGCGGGGTCCACCTCATTCGCTGGCAGCGGCCATCAAATCTAGTCCCGCCTTGGTAGTTTTTTGGGTGTCAGCGGGCCAAGTTTCGGCAGTAATTTACCCGTCGTTCAGCACGCGGCTAGTCGTCCATGTATATCACACGTCTGGTTCCGACACCAGCATAATATGCAACATCAACAACATGCATGCATTCACTTGTGCTGTGAACATCGCCGCCGTAGGCACGGCGTGCATGCCCCCTGGCCTGAGGCCACCATGTACGGTGACACCCTCGATACTCAATTTTCATTACTACCGAAACGACACAAGAGCATGCGGTGAACTGCCGGGAGCAACAGCCAGCGGTCAATGCACCGTTATGCCGACTCCAAGCACTCAAGAAACACGCACGCACCTCGGTACCGATGTCCACGAAGGCGCCGTAGGTGACGACGTTGTTGATCACGCCTTCGTACTCCTCGCCCACAACGATGTCCTCCAGAGCGATCGACACCGCGTCGTCGTCATCCTGTAGGAAAAAAAAAAAACATTGTTGGTATTATAACGATGCATACGTCTATTGTTAGAGTCGTCGGTACCCGACTCGGCTATCCAGCGGGTGACTCTCAATCTTCATGATGAACACTTCCATTAGACCCCCCAAAAGAAGCATCTCGTACCCGTAGTGCGTTGTTTCATGTTTGTAGGTAATCAATCTCACACTCGCAAGCAAGCGGACAGCAGTCAGTGGCCAACCGTTTCGCCCTCTCGTTGTGCCGGACAAAGAGTAGGGAAAACGCCAACATCAACTAGCCACCCGCCATTTTGTTTATCGTCCCACCCGCTCTGCTTGTTGAATTGTTGAACACGAGCCGACGCTAATATAGCAGCCGGTGCCAACGAGCGTCGTGTATTCCACCACAGCAGTGGCAGCGTTTTGCGGTTATCCGTCAATGGAGCCAAGCAGGAAAGACGACCCAGACACAAACAACATGTGTCGTATTTCATGAGACCAAAAAGAGGGAAATCGTGTCGAACCAAGGGCAGTTGAACTCTTTGCGAACATTGTTACAAGAGCATGCGCGGGGCCAAAAAGAGAAAAAAAACACAAACCTTTGGTGACGCGAATAAGCATACGCCAATGGACGGGCACAACACACACGGCGCTCTTGGGACAACGCTGCGTGCCCAGGGTGCAGACTTCAACCAAGGCTTTTATTGCCCTCTTATCTCTACAATCGACGGAATTTCGGCGCGGCTGCTGTGTCACATGTGTGTGTTTCGTGCGGTCAGGGCTTGTTGTTGAGCTTTTTCTTCCCGTCATATCACGATCAAAGCACAGCAGCGAAACCGCCTCGCTGACTGACTAGCGCCGCACTGCCAATCCCACGCCCCGTAAAAGGAAGCTGCTGGGACGTGTGAGGCATTGCTCCAACAGGATGGACGTGCTACATGGTGCATGATGCGCGGGGTGTATGTGTATTTTTTCTGCGGCCCTCTGAGCTTCACGCGTGTCTCCCGCGCGCTTGGCAAAAAAAACATGACGAGTGCAACAGCAGAACCGTTGATGACGCGAAACACGCACAACAACCCCGACACGCCTTCGCTACTGCACACCACCACGACAACACCGAGCCAGCTGCACGCGGGGGCTGCGGTTCGACGTGCCAAGGCTGACCGGGGGGAGCTCGTGACACAGACAGCACAGCCCTTGTTGTGTGCGCGCCACGTACGGGCACCGCCCAATAGCAACTCTGAGTACCCCCGTGGCCATCCACGGCTCTGGAGTGCAACATGGCACGTGGCGGGAGTGTGAGAGTCACTCAGAGCGCGTCAGAAAGCTCCAGCTCCTCTAGAGCTCGACAATAACTTGATCATCGTCTCACTGACCGCCGCCCCCGTATCTCTCTCTCTCTCTCTCTCTCTCTCTCTCTCTCTCTCTCTCTTACCTCCATGGCAGGAGAGATCGGGTCGTCGACGGCAGCAGCGACCGGGATCTCCTCCGCAGCCTCCTCGAGGGTTGCCTCGGCAGCAGCCTCCGTCGTCTCGGTCTCATCCACCGCCGCCGACATGATGCGCATGCCTCGGCCCGTCGCGGCCGCGGGGCGCGGCTGCGCCGCCGCGCGCGTTCGGGACACCGCCGCATTGTACTTGTGCGCCGGCACCACGAAGTTGGTAGGCCGCACGCTCTGCAGGAAGGCCGTGCTGGACCCGGCAAGGCCCAGCATTACAGCCAGGGGGAGGTTTACGCGCACCGTCCTCATGTTTTGCTGTTGTTTTGGTCTACGGTCTCTTCTCGTGGGAGTGAGTGAGAGAGAGAGAGAGGTTGGGGAGTGACCGGCAGGAGAGGAGAGCACGGTCGTCGGTGTGCTGTGCTGCTACGAAAGATAGGCGACAGCGTAGATGCAGATGGCTCGCTCCTTGTTTTCTCGTCAGCAGCACACCTCCTTTTTTTTTTTTTCAGAATCCTCATCCCCGCCGGGTAAAACGCTGTTTCATCATCTCTCTCTATAACTCCGCTTATTTGCGCCGCCTCTCCCCCTGGGCGCAGCGGCTAGCACTCCGAGGTCCGATAAACGTGCACTCTTGGCATGCGTGTACATGGCTTCGAAAGTATGGGGACTGCATGGTGGTGGAGTAAAGCTGTTGACCTCCGTGCTACTGGCGCTTTCGAAGCCACACGCAATCCACTGCGGTACGTCTGCGGGATCGACCGCACATCATGATCGACTCGCTACTGCTGCTACTCCTCCTGAGGACATGACCCCTCCAGCCGAGAGCGGCAGCCGCAGCCGTGCTGAACCTTCACTCGCCGTTGCGATCCCTCCTCATGAGCCCGCAACGGGCAACGCACCGCTTGAGGTGCAGATGTTGGACTTTTCTTTCAGCCCGCTTGGGCCTCGCGGCCTCCAAGACACGGACATCGATGCAGCAGGAGTTGTTGAAGAAGGGCAGCAGCATCGGCACCCCAACACCAACCCGCCGCCTTCCGCGCTGAGCCTCAGGGAGTGCTCGCTGGGGGACCTTGGGGTTGCAGAGGTTGCTAGGTCCCCGTGGGTGCGTGGCAAAGCGGGAGTGAGGGCGTTGTCGCTACGGCAGAACCAGGTGCGGAGCTTTGCCAGCAGCAGACACAAACACGTGGATGCGTTCAAATCGACGCGGCAGGTCAAGCATGTAGTCTAGATGATGCCGCCTAAGTACCAACAGCACCGGGGCCAGCAGCAGCAGCATGAACAGCACGCAGCAGCACGCAACGGCGGCAGCGCACGACCCGCCTCGCATGCGTATGTGACCATACAGTGGTATACTTTGGGTCCTTTTTGCGTGTGTGTCTACCAAACAAGGGTCTGGCGGTACAGCAGTAGAGAGTGGTCTCTGATGTTCTACAGCAGTATCATGTATCATGTGTGACAGATGTTACCCCAAGATCAAAATAAAAGGGGCGTCTGTTTGCAAGGTTGGTCCGTGCGTCTGGCGAGAGCAACGCCGCCTGAGGTCTTCCGTCCTCATGCCGTGCACCAAAACACACACGTGTGTTTTCGCTCGTTGCCACTGTCTCTCCCACCCAAAAATCAAACAACACCGTCAGACAGAATCTCTGTGTCGTAGTCAATGCCAACGGCATCTTGTTCGTGCACCCGAAAAGAGTAGAAGCATGAATCTTGGATCCAGCGGCGCACGCTAGTGCCACAAGAGCGGTCCTTTGTCCGCCTCGTCTTCATTTTCAAAAACCTGTGCCCCTCATAAAATTCTCTTTCTATCCGTCAGTCGGTAGACCAATTTTCATACATATGTACCCTCCCCCTCCTGCGTGCCCTCCGAACCCGAGTACCCCCCCACCGTAACGCATGCACGTCCTCTCCGCAGCAGCCAAAAGCACTGCTGACGCGAGCGTTTCTCTCTCTCTCTCAGAACCCCACCGCCTTCCACGCATGATTCAACACACGGCAGGTGACGGCTGCCGGGGTGCGGGCCCTGCTGGACTCCCTCCGCTCGGCGACCGACTCCGGCGACCGGCTGGCCTGCCTCGAGCTCGACTTCAACCCCATCGGGGACGCGGGCGCGCAGCCCCTGCCCGCGTACCTGAAGGAGCGCGCGGCGAGGGGTGGCGGTGGGCTGGAGGAGCTGTCCCTGCGGTTCTGCGACATTGGGCCGGCGGGGTGCAGGTTGTTTTTGTTGGCCCTTCGGTCGGTTTGCTGCGGCGAAGCAAGAGTCGTTTTTTCTTTTCGTTTCGACTGTACAATGGTACAGCAGTACCGAAGGTGCTTCTCGCGGGGGAGGGGGTTCTTTGCTGCTCTCAAAACGCGGGCCGGGGCCGTGCCGCTCGATACCTAGAACCTTCCTAGACACGTATCACCGCAAACCCCAACCCCACAGCCGCTTTCGCTTGTCACCCCCCCCCCCCCCGTCCCCATCAGGTACCTCTCCTCAGCGCTACTGAAGAGCGCTGCTGCAGCAAAGATTGCCGCCAACGACGACGCCAACAGCCCCGCCAGCGAAGCTCCCACCACCGCTGGCAGCGGGGCCGGGCGGGAAGAGGAAGAGGAAGAGGCGGAGGCGGAGGGGGAGAAGAAAGGTGGTGCGGAGGTTGTCCTGCCTCCCCCGGTGGCTTCCGGGATCAGGCGGCTCCTGTTGACGGGAAACGACCGCCTCGGCGACGCAGGGGCGAAGGCGTTGGCGTCGGCGCTGAAGAAGGACAACTCTCTCCAGGTTCTTGACCTCACGAGGTGTGCTTGTATATGCAGTTAGGTTTATGGTTGAGAGAATGGGCGTTGTGGTGCGTGAATTGTGGCCGGTGGAGTGGAGGGTGAGATTCGTGGAATAGAGGTGCTGTCATTCACGTTTTGAGTGTGAGGACCACCTTTCACGCTCTATGCACTTCTTCGATTTTCGTTCCATGTTGCGCAATATCTCCACATTTGTTTTATTTGTAAGTTCAAGCCATTCCAATAGAAGAGAGGGGGTGGGTGGGCGATGAGCGCAAGCGTTGGGACCCAGTTGTCGAATAGCCCTTCGAAGTGATCTTCGGCGAAGCGGACTCCCTCGTTGATGTGGTGTCTGTTTCAAACTTGTTCCGACTCGATATCGCTGCTTCGTCCAATTTTTTTCTCGACTCTTGCCGACCTCGCGACCTGTCTCGGACGGGGGCGCTTTCGCGCACGTCTGGTTACTCTTGCTGTCAACTGGCGGGGTGGGGCGCTATGGCGGGCGGCCGACGAATGACGTCAGATGCAAGATTGGCGACGACGGCGCGCGATGCCTCGCCAACGCGCTTCGGTCCAACTCGTGTCTTCGCGAGCTCAGGTAGGCCACCACCCGAAAGCGTGTTGCACCTTGGCATTTGTTCCTAAGAGTCTGCCTCCCTCGTCCGCAACGGGGACGCCGGGGGAGTTAGAAGTGGAAAATACCACCGATGTTGGCCTTTTTTTCGCGACATGTGTTTGCCGCTGTGTTGGCCCCCATGTTTGGAGGGTTTCAGCGTGTGTTGCCGGCGGACGTAAGCGAGGCCTCGGCACGTAGCAGACCCAGTGACTCGCGTGGTGACTCTAGATCGAGTAGTCGAAACGTCCTGTGCTGTTTCCTTCCACGGATTATGGTGTCTTTTGCGGTTCGTTCAACGAGGGGTGTGCAACAACGAGCGTTTGTCGGGGGGGGTCACTCTTGCACTTTGTACGGCACATACAGTCCCGTTTTACAGTGAGTTTGTGAACGTGAAAGTCGGCACAGGCGCGCACGCAAAAAATGCAGCCTCGAGTCTCATGCCGTGCAGCAGCCAGGAGTCGATCTGGCATTATTGCCACATCAAAACTCTGAGGTTTACGGGAAGCTGCAAGAAGATTTAGCGAAGAAATACTTTGTCTCCATGACCCGGTGATCTACACAAAAGAGCTGGAACTAAAGCTCCGAGAGGGGAGTTTCCATCTGCCAGACGGGAGGAAAAGACTGACAGTAAGAGGGCGGGGGAGAAAGCAGCTGTTGCGGAAACGTAACAAGGCAGAATGTAGCAGAAGTTACGTCTGTGTGAAGTGTTCAGGGAAGGGAAGGGAGGGAGTCCCTCGAGGAAGTCATGAGGAAAGCACATGGGCGTGGCATGTTTTAGGTACGGTGAAATAGACAGCGAGGAGAACACGATGGCAGATATATAGATGGGCGATCGCAAGATGCCGGACAGGAACAGGAGAAGACAGCAGCGAAAGGATGTCTTGCGGAAATTTGGGGCTAGCCTCAAGACATTGGTGATCTCGAAGACATGAAGACCGATTGTTGGAGGGAGATATCTCGAATACTGCTGTATGGAGTTGAACGATGCTCCGTGTCGAGTGCGCAGCACAGCCCATGGAAAAATGACTACAAGAGGCAAGCGGTATATGATTCCCCTACCACCACCACCAGCCCCAAGGACGGTGACCAGATTCCGGTCCATCCTTACGAAACCTTATGGCTCCGTCCCGGCATGTAAGGATGCGACGTCAGTGGTCTTCGGCATGCGTTTACATGAGTACGAGTATCCCCCCCCCGCCCCCCGCGCGCTTGCCTCCTCGGTTGGTGTTTGGTACTGTACCCGCTCGCGTCTCATCTAGGTTGGGTTACAACGACATCTCCGCGGACGGCGCGTTGGCCCTCGCTTCCCTCCTGCATGCTGGCTCTAGCGCCCTGGAGTGCTTGGAGCTGCAGGTAGGATCATCGACTCACGTCCCGTGTACGCGTTTTGTTCTTGTTGACGCGCGCATTCAGGTAATGCTTTGCGCTCCTTTGTTGTGCGTTTTTAGATGGACGAACATTCTATCGTCAGACCCCCGCCACGCACTGCTGTGTGTCCACTATTGGACGTGAGTGCGTTCAACTCTAACGGAGTGTCGCGCTGAAAAGCCAGGGCGAGCTCTCCCCGCCGCCCCCCGTCCGAAGGCGCTTACCAGGGTTAACAGCGCTTACCAGCACAGGAGTTTTACACCCGGGTCATGGGTACAGGTTGAAACGATCATCGTTTGACACACACTAGCCACATCGAAGCATGTTCTGCCTTCGTTTCGTTCCATGTGAGCTGAAGAAGCCCCTTCACTTTCCAAGATTCGAGAAGAACGTCGGGTGAACCGCATGCGCGTCTGTCCAACCAGGAAAACCTCACACCATGGCTGGCTCCCGTGTTCCGACGAGGCCATACCCCGAGCGATTGCCCCTCCGCTCAAAACCACTAGAGTTGGTGCCGTTATGTGCCGAGAAAAATTGATCGGCGCTATTCCGGACAACGGCACGGTACTATTCAGAACAGGAACATATAGGTTTTAGTGTAGGCGTGGACACTCGTGATTTGACACCATTCCGAGCACCGGCACAGGCACTTAACAGCGACCTCTACTGCTGTATGTGTACCAACCAATGCAGGGAAATCATGTCGGTGATGCCGGCGCCGTGGCCTTAGCGGACGGCCTTGTCGGGGGAAACAACCGCGGTGGTCGGAGGAGGGGCGGTGCGTCCAAGCAGGGCATCAGCAGCAGGAGGGGGCCTGGCCTACGGTCGCTAAACCTCGCGGGGAACGGCATCGGGTGCGCCGGCGGGGGTGCGCTTGCCAAGGCCTTGGTTGGCGGGAAGGGGGGAGGAGGAGAAGGAGGAGTCGTGCTGGAGGAGCTCGAGCTCGCGGGTAACGCGGTGAGTTGGTTTTGTTTCTTCTCGAAGGCCGAGGCTGACATGGCATGAAATGCGCCGTTGTTATTGCGTTGTTTTGCGAGAGGGGTGCAACATTAGGAATGTGCAAGAGTGCGGAGAAAAGCGTTACGTCAAGCCGTTTCTGTAGTTCGCTCGAGCTCGACGGACCTTTTTGTTTTCCCTTCTCGGTAGTTGACACTCCACGTTATCCCGGACATACATTGATTTCCTTCGTGGGGCAGCAGACAGCGCCAAACAATTGGTGTCTACGAACGTTGTGTCTTCTGTCGGTTCAGCAATAAAGAATCGGTCGAAACAAAAGGGTCCGTTGCCCTTGCACCACCGCGTACCTCCGTTTTCTTTAACGGACTTGAAGCACAAATTTTTGTGATCCCCGGCCCCCCGCCTCTTGAGGACGCATGGTCAGTGGTCTAGCCGCCAGGGCATGTAAGACATGAGTACGCACCCCCCCCCTCCTCCCTCCTCCCTCCTCCCTCTCCCCCCTTTTCGCGCCCTGGGCTAACCGTAACCTTTCACGCTCGAAATATCTGTCCGTCTCGACATCGCTCAACCAGCTCACCCTCAGCGCGTCCCAAGCCGCCGCCCAAGCGAAGAGCTCCTCCCTCTACAAGTCGGCGGGCGGCGCGCTGTCCTCCCTGCTCACCACCTTCGTCGACGAGAGCTACTATGGCGGCAACAGCAACAACCGCGGCAGTGTCCAGGACGCCTCGGCGTTAACCCCTCCGTCGCTAGGAAACCCCGCCGGTGGCGTGGCCGAGAGGCCGCTCAGGTGCGCGGTCGCGGAGCTCGGAGAAGCGCTAGCTGGACAGGGTGCCCGTGGGCGCGGCGGCGGCGGCGGCTTCGGTGGGAGCGGCGGCGGGTGCCCTTCCCTGAAGGCGGTGGGGCTGGCTAGGACGGGTTTGACCGAGAGGGACGCGGCGAGGCTCGCGGCGGCCCTGCGGGCTAGGCCCGTGGACAGCCCGTTGGAGGAAGTGGAGGTGGGTGGGTGGGTGGAGGGGATTGGGGAGCTGGAGCGGTGGTGTAGAAGGAAGGAAAGGCGTTTATGGTGGAGGGGATTGGGGGGCTGCAAAACAAGCTCGTTTCGGTGCCGATGTCGACAATGTCGACAAGATTGTGTCTAAGCCAGTTCTGGTCGCCGTTGCGAGTCACCGTCGCTTGCTTGGGGAACGTATTCAGCTTCAATGCCCTCACTTCACGTTGCTTCTATTTCGGTCACCGCCGAAGCAGAAGGGCTCTTGACACACGGGGAAGTTGTCTCCCCGCAAATCAACGCCGGACCGTAAGACCCCGCGTTCAAACTCAACCATCTTATTTTCATCCGCAGACGGTGACCTCCGCCCGATCCCGGCGACTCCCTCCCCCCCTTGTCGCACTCGTCTTTTTTTTTTTTTCTTTTTTTTTCCTGCGTAACAGGTGGGATTGAACGGGCTGAGCGTTAAGGCGGCCGAAGCCATTCGATTGGCGGTGGAGTCTCCGACCGCTCCTCACGACCGCAGCAGCAGCTTTGTCGACGACCTCGAAAAAAACGGGGGGCGGGGGCGGCAAAGGCCGCGGCGGCAACGGCAGCGGCGGCGACATGATCCGGCAGCACCCGGCGTCGACGAGCCGGGCCTGAGGTCGCGAAGGGGGACTGCGACAGCAGCACCGGCCGAAGAACGGTCTGCGAGGGGGGCGGAAGTCGGGGAGTACGTACCTCCGGGGGGGAGCGTGGAACTGGGACTGTTCGGGAAAAAGTTCGCTTCGTTTCAACAGGTAGGTGCTGCTGTGGGTGGCTCGTGTTGTTGTGAGCGTCTCCCGAGAGGGTTCAAAAGAGACCGCGTTGGGGGGGGGGCGACGGTCGCGCGCTCTGTGTGCCTTGTCTTGTTTGTCCTTGCCGTTAAATGTGGTACAGAAATTTAGTCGTCGCCGCTTAGAGGGCACTCATGGGGTTTCTCTTCGCAAAAATAGTGTCCTTAAAAGCGGGCACGTGTTATTGAAACATTTACACCCCTATTGTTTTTTTATTCTGCGGGCCACCACCATGCTTCTGAAAAGGATGGAGCTCTGAAACGGGGACAACATTATTTATCGGTAGCGAGTGGTTGACCCCGGTTGGCGTGTCTTGCCAAGAGCCGTGCTTGTTGGTGGTCAACGCGCGATATACCGCGCGGGCTCAGGTTGTGGAATGGATGGGTGGATTGGGCAGGACCCGATCATCCCGTTCATCGCAGAGTATGCCTTTGATTTTGTCGGTACTTGGAACAGGTGTGACTATCCTCAGACTTGCGCGTGGATCCTTAGGGTACGAAGGGTCTGTCTCTCTCGAAGAATGGGATTCAATGCACGACTCCCTTCAGTGTTGCAAGGTCTAGTCCCGTCTGCACCAGGGTCGGCTCCGGGGTTTCAGCACGACAGCATGGAGGTGTATGGCACTACTAATATTCGCGGGCAAACCTTTCACGAGTTCTGTGTCCACAAGCGGAGCTCCCAATGGATGTTTCGCCTCCTGCTGGTATTTTGTCGTCCAAACATCATCGCGACCCCAGCTCTCACCAACCGAGCATGCTATTGATCCCTCCGCCCTCCCGGCATAGCAGGGATGCGAGGTGAATGGTCTAACGACTACGCCACGCATATACACTATAGTACACCTCGTCTTCAATTGTTTTCACTTCATTTATCGAAAGTGTTCGACTCTCTGCTCTTCGTTCATCCCTCCGTACCGCAACAGGCTGGAGGCTCCGGGAGAGAGCTAGATGTCGAAGTGTTCGGGAAGCGGGTCCGCTTCGAGCGGACGGGGGGCTCGCCGCCGTCCCCACGGCCTGGCTCGTCTCCGCCGCCTTCGATGGCCACCGCCGAGCCTGACCCGTGGTCTGACGATGATGACGGAGGCGGCGGTGTCGAGGACGACTCTGATCTTGGCGGGGTGTCCGCCGCCGCTACCGACGGCTCCTCCTCTTCTTGGTCCTCCGAGGAGGAGGAGAATGATGATGACGATGGTCGTGGGCACGAGGGGGGGCACGATGATAGTCGAGGGGGCAGGGGCCCCGCGGTTCTCGGCAGCGATGACCCTGAGAACGCCAGCATCAGCAGTGCTGCCGACGATACGGAGGATTGGGATGATGGTGGTGAAACGAGCGATGGCGGCGACGACGAGGAACGCGGCCTTGACTCGAGCGCTGCCGGGAGGGGCAAGCCCGGCCTACGAAACCCGGCGTCGCGGAGAAATTTCAACGTGCGCGGGGGTGGCGGCGGCGGCGGCGGGGGCGGCGAACCGCCGACAAAGATACCAGGTCGACGGACCCGGTCATCGCGGGACGCAGGAGGAGCAGACGACGGCGAGTGGGCTGCGGGGTTCGAAACGGTGTCAGCCGAAGAAACCGAGGCAGACCCCGAGAATGGTGAGGATGGCAGCGGGGCGGCAAAGGTTGAATGGGAGGACGGTTTCCGCGAGTCGCGAACAGAACAAGGAGCGGAAGACAGCGAAGACGGCGAGTGGGCTGCGGGGTTCGAAGCGGTGTCCGAAGAAGCGGAGTCGGACTGCGAGAGCGCCATGGGGGGCGGCGGAGCAGCATCGGCCGAGGTTGAATGGGAGGACGGTTTCCGCGAGTCGAGAACGGAACAAGGAGCGGAAGACAGCGACGACGGCGAGTGGGCTGCGGGGTTCGAAGCGGTGTCCGAAGAAGCGGAGTCGGACTGCGAGAGCGCCATGGGGGGCGGCGGAGCAGCATCGGCCGAGGTTGAATGGGAGGACGGTTTCCGCGAGTCGAGAACAGAACAAGGAGCGGAAGACAGCGACGACGTCGAGTGGGCGGCAGGGTTTGAATTGGCGTCAGCAAAAGAAGCTGAGTCGGACTGCGAGAGCGCGATGGGTAGCGGCGGAGCGGAATCGGCCGAGGTTGAATGGAAGGCCGGTTTCCGCGAGTCGCGCAGGGAACAGGGAGCGGAAGACGGCGAGTGGGCGGCAGGGTTCGAACCGGTGTCAGAGGTAACTGGCCGAAACACTGCAGCTGACCGCGGCTCAGCACCAACCGAGATTATGGAATGGAGCGCAGGCTTCGACGATTGCGAGTTCAACGGAGGGTCGGGGCGCCGGGGGGAGTGATAAGGCTGTAAAGGTGTTAGGAATCGATTACTGCGATGTTGAAAGGAAAAAATGACGTGCTACAGCAGTTTAGTTGTTGACAAGTATATCTAGAAGGCTCGAATGGAATTATACTCATGTGCTTGCCTGGTGTTGAGGTTGGAGGACTTTTGGAGAAACTTTGAGATCCCTGTAGTGGGGCTCATGCTACACGTTGCGTGCTACGAACAACGGCAGGATACGCGCGCTACCGTCGAGGACTCGCGGAGGGTGCTCAGCCAAGACGCCTACACTAAAACCTATATAGTCGACGCCTACACTAAAACCTATAGGTGGGCAGTCGCCGTGGGGGTGTTCCACCCCATGAGACAACGTAAGAAACGAGCCTCGCCCATAGGGTAAAGAGGTTGTGAAGTGGTGCCGCGTTCTTTACATGTGCAGCTCGAGATATCGAGACCCACCCATCCACCTTGTCCTGCGACAAGCCGGCCGGGCACCGCCGTTGTGTGGTGAGCGCCGTGGTAGACAATTGAAGCGTGCAAGGCTGGCTATAGGCTTTCCTCGGATGTTTGTGCTACAATATTCGAGGTATCGGCCCGTGCCGTGTCGTCAGTCGTAGTCTTTCATGGTGAATTTCCACCCGCTCGAGTTAGTTACCAAAACGAGCACTCTTCTCCTCCTCATCACTTGGCGCGGGACTAATTTGTCCCCGACAACAAGGGAGGGAGAAATAAGCTGCTGGTGACGGATCTGGGGAGCTGTTTTACGGCCAAGTCCTTAGATTTCGGATTTTTTTAGGCCCCAATTCTTGAGCGGTGGCGCGTTCTGTATAGAAGGAAAGTCTAGCCATCGTTGGGCCCTTCGAGACCACCTATGGTTTCCTCTCTTGCATGCTCGATTTCCCAAATACATTTTCGCCCTGCCGGACTGGGGCGTGCGTTCAAAGTCCTCATCGCAGGCGCGTGATAACACCAAAGCTTGTTTGCTCCATGAGCGACGTAAAACCCAGAAATAAGCAAGCAACGCCCATTCAGACGAATTCCAACTTCTGTTTCCAACGTTTGCAACACAAGCGCACCAGTCGGGAACAGAAAGCCTGGTTCTCGAATGGATCTATGTGAAGCGTTTCCCTACCAAAAAACAAAACAAACACAACTACCGTTGAACGCTGCGCTGCTGCTGCGTTCATGCTGACGATACCAAAAAAAATCTATTGCGCTCTCGGGGCCCGTGGTCTGTCAAAACTGAGGGGTGTGGCCGCGTGGGTGAGAGGGGAGGTTGCACGAGGGCACTCGGCTGCAACTCCCTACCCACATTGAAAGGAAGCGCGCGCGTCGCCTCTTCATTGCATGACAGGCTTCCCCGCTGACTGCTTCGCCGTAGCAACTATGACTTCCTCTCCCTCCGCGTGTATTTTCACGTTCGTGCGTGGACATCTGATGTTCGTTCGGTTCTCCCCTGCAACGGAACCACACCGAACGAGAGACTTAACGCGCATCACCTCTTCTACCGCCGTCCACGCCAAAAACTCGAACCAAAACAAGAAAAAACAGCGAAATCGACCACAACGAAAAAACAACCGACGGAAACACACAAAACACTACAATACCGGGAGAGCGCATGGTCCACGTGGTGGATGGTCCAAGAAAAACAGGCCAAACGACTTGACCAGGTGGGTCGGCGAAAACCACCCGCCAAGCCGGGGCACGCGGACAAGAAGCGGAGAGGGGGGGGGGGGGTCATCCACCCTGAAGTTGTCTAAGGTTTCCCCCCTCCTGCTGTCGAAACAAAGCATAAAAAACTACATCACGTACAATACACATCACTAGACGATACGCGATGTAGCCAAACATATCCAAAAAAACGGCGTGTTACGCACCACAGGACCCGGCAAGCATCACGGGAAAACGAAACCAAAAACATGAACAAAAAAAAAAATCCGGCAAAATCTCCGCGAACACTCGACCCAAGCACGGCGGCAGTTGGAACTCCCTTGAGCCACCCCCCTCCCCCCGAATCCGCGCCCGGGCGTCAGCCACCGAGATCAAATAGATTCGGAGCCCAGGAGGAGAGGGTATCCATTCGCGGCAGTCCACTGTCCGGCGAAAAGCGCCAACGCAGCTACGATAAGTACGAAGAACAGCGAGAAACCCTGCGCCGGGAGAGAGCGGCGGTAGTTGACATGGGGGGGGGGGGGTTGGGATCGTTTGAAGCGTGAAACAACGGCGACGGTTGGGGAGAGGGGTTGGTGGGGACAACGCCAGAGGTGAAGCCCGTGCACTTGTAGCCGCGGGTCAGAGAGAGACCACAGCAAGTGCTGCCAATTTGCGCCAGTTTTTTCTCCCAACACAAATATGTGAGAGATACCCACAGCCGCGCACGATGAAACAACAAGACAACGCGCACGGCGCACGAGGAAGCAAATCCAACCAACAAAGAAAGGACAATATATATATATGCCAACCACTACACAAAACGGCACAGCAGTACTTGCAGTCACAACCGAGCGTCGAGAGAAGGTTCGCCTCCTCAGCTGTGAAACCGTCATACTTTACGCGTGCACACCCAAAATACAGCACAAACCGCCTCGCGGCCCCTACTGAAGCAAAACCAAACACCGCAAAAAAAAAGACACATACCGCAGAGGCTATTGTCGTTGTTGCCTGCTCGCAGGTAACATCACAAAACACCGTTAAGCATGTTGCACAGTAGAACACCGACGCCGAGAAAGCCTATGACGAATAGTACCCCTTTTCGCTTAAAAGCATGCAACACCAACAATGGTAATACCGTTAAATGCTAAATAGGATATTGACCGGCTTGGATGACGGTGCCAAGCATAAGCTGATCAGAGAGCTAATCATCACGATCGTAAGATTGACAGACAGACTGACTGACTGACAGCCTCACCGAGCGACTCTCGGAGGGAGAGGTGGATCCCGCCACGCTCCCTGCGGGCCGCCTGGCTCCGGGTTCCATCACTGATTGTTGTTGACGATGACGTCGTTGTCGGTGTTGTTGATGATTATGTTGTCGATGTTGTTGTTGACGTCGTTGTTGACGATGGTGTTGTTGTCGTTGTTGACGATGGTGTTGTTGTCGTTGACGACGATGGTGATACCCATGTTGTTGTGGTTGTGGCAGGAGCAGCGGGGGCAGCAGCAGCAACAGCAGCGGTTAATGAGGGATGAGAATCAAGGTCAGCACGGTGGTGATGTTATCGATGTTGGTGTTGTGGTTGCAAAAGCGGCAGCGGCGGCAATGAGGATAAATCTCGCGCACCACGGCCGTGAAATAAAGAATGCGCAGCAGCAGATTAGTACCGGACATGACTCAAAACACTGCAGCAAACAGGACGCTCGGCAGTCAGAGACCGGGATCGCCATATAGTGACATCATACAGGTGTACAGTAGCCATGAGGGCAGCTGAAAGTGTCAAGACCAGCTACGGCATAGTTTCCGCAATTGTGCGAGTCGCCACACACACACACACACACACACACATGTGTACCCCAGATCGACTTTCATAGAATAGCTCGGTTGCTCCACGAGCACACAGATTGCCCATGCCTAAAATGGGACGGTTCTGGAAATATCACGAGGAGAGGCTTCCTTAGACACGTCGACCGTTTTGCGCACCTACCCTCTTGGTCGTGGAGCAATCGAGCTTGAATAGTAGTAATAGTCAGTTTAGGGGTGTGGGACGGCTCGCACTTCTACGGGAACACAACACAAGTCGATCGACTAAATGTAGAGGCCGATCGATCGATTTAATGTATAATAAGAGATCGAAAGATAGATTCAATATGCAATAGAGGTCGATCGATTGAAAAATGTAGAGAACGATCGATCGATTCAATCAAGTACAATAGTGGCGGCCGATCGAATTAATGTACAATAATAGTAGGTCGCTCGATCGATTGAGTAAATGCACAACAGAGGTTGATCGATAGAGTAAATGCACAACAGAGGTCGCTCGATCGATCTCAGTCCATTGATCACAGCCGCGGGATTGGAAAATACCGCGTCTCGCAACACGCATGCAGGACCCAGGACACAAGTGCAAGGCGCGTTGTTGCTTCGGTAGAGGGCGAAAGACACGAGACCCCACCCCCCCCCCGCCGCCCAAAAAAGCGCGGTATTTATGCAACCAAGGAAGCAATACAGCAGTTAAAACCCTAGCGTGCGACACAGCCAGCGGCGGGGGCTTCCCGTGCAACGGGAGTCGGGTCTCACTTTTTGTCTCGAGCAGCTTGCGAGCTTGCTGTTCTCTCGCCAGATCCTCCTTGGTGGCCCCGAGCGATCTCTGAATCAAGTCCTGTTGAGCACCACAACCCGCCGCCAAAAACAAGCCCGTTAAGAACAAGAGAAGGGGAGAAGAACAAGAAAAGAGACAAGCGTAAGGCGAGGTATGTACGCAACGTCTTTTGGGTAAAGGTTGGGTTCTGTTCAAAGTGGTCACGATACCTACAATAGTCGGTCAAGCGATATGCTAGGAAAAAATTATCCATCGATTATTTCCACCGCCTGTCGAAATACCCAATAGGTGTTCCGGTGTGCGATAATCGATATGTACCTATTCGCAATAATGCAGACGAACCAAAGTTGCGGACTTCCGTGGGAGCAGCGTGCAGCATCTAGGCAGCAGCATGAAAAAAAAAAAGAGCTAATGGTGAGTTTCCGAGCCAAGCTTACGTGTCCAGGAAAGCCATGACAGCATTCCGTTTTCTCCCTCTCTTGACTTGGAGAAATTTGATTGGCGTGCGTTTTGAATCTACGTCGTCAGCTCCGCGCTCTACGTTTTCAAAACGCCCCCCAACACAACTCTGCACACCGTTTTTTTACAAAGGTTTTTGCCTTCCCACTGCCAAAGGAAGTACCCACCGATATTCACGATGCTAATCAAATTAAAAATCCTCAAAAAAAAACACATCCGGCACAACACGATGCAGAAAAGTCCGATCCCCCCTCCCCCGTGGTTTGACATGCCACAAGCTCGACGTCTCGACGAAAACAAAAGA